ATAATTAATAAAAATAACTTACCATCTATTATATTATTAATTATTAATTATTTTTTTAAATAAAAAATTTAGTTGAGCTTAAATTACAGTAAAAAGTATAATTAAATACTAATAATTAATAAAAATAACTTACAATCTAAATTTTAATTTATTTTTTAAATAAAAAATTTAGTTAAGTTTAAATTACTGTAAAAAATATAATTAAATACTAATAATCAATAAAAATAACTAGAGCTCTGAATTTGACCTAATGGATCAGATGACCAGACAGATTGACCCAAAAATTTTAGGTCAGATCTACAATTTAATGATCTGACATCAGGTCGGGTTAAGTTCTTAATCTGATCTGTTAGACCCAGATCAATTTATAATAAAATTTACTAACTATATTATTAATTGATCATCAATCTTTTTTTTATCATCTTTTTTTTCATATCTTGAATATTTTCATTCTTAAATATATAAAATGTCTAACAAAAATTTTTCAAAACATCCTCATTATAAAATTAATTCAGACTTAGAAGAGAACACTTTTAATGAAGAACTCAACTTAGATAAAGAAAGCAGTGAACTTCTATAAATTCAAGTTCTATTTTAAGCTCAACAGACGAAAATGATAAAAAAAATAAAAGTGCTGTGTGGGACCATTTGATAAATTTGTAAATAATAAAGGTATTATATGAGCAAAGTGTCAATATTGTTTGTAAGAGATAATACAAGCATTTTTGAATAATTTTGTCTGCATTTCTACATGGATAGAAACAAATGTTTTTTGTTAAAACATATTTTTTTTTTAAAAAAACTATTTTTATTAGAGGTGGCAAGTATAATATGAGTAGTGGAAGTACAACTGGTAACTTAAATCGTCATCTTAAGTTACATCCGGAGAAAATTGATTCTAAAATTGCGAAATAAGCAGAACTCATGAAAATATTTCTACAGTCAGCTGATAAAATAGTGAGTATAATTTATTCTATTTTTATTTTACCTTAAAGTGATAAATTATTTAATTATTATATTCATTTTATTTAAACATATTTTAATGAAATTTTTCGGGAAATACTTGCTAAATGGATCGCTGCTGATAATCAACCATTCACTGTCATTGAATCACCTGAGTTTCATAATTTAATAAAACTTTGCAATCCAGTAGCATATATTCCATCAGCGGACACAGTGAAAAATGATATTATTAAGTTATATAATAGCTATAATACAAATTTGCAAAATATATTACAGGTTAGTAAAATAAATTATAATATTTACAAATTACAATTATTATTTAATTAAAATAATTTGTCATTAATTAAAGAACAATCTAGGGAAAATAAGCTTCGCGTTAGACAGGTAGATATTACCTAATATTATTAGATTTCTTAGTATAACAGCCCATTATATTGATTCTGACTGGAATCTTAAAGATGTTCTTGTAGATTTTGTTTATCTTGCAGGATCCCATTTAGGTGAAAATATAGCACAAGTATTCATGGAATCCCTTTAGGATAAAAAAATATTAACCAAGGCAAGTGATAAGTTTATTTTTACTTTATATAATAAATTTAATAAGTTAATCACTTATTATTAGATCCTTGGAATCACAGCTAATAATGCTGCGAATAATAACACTTTTTTAAGGATTCTTGAACAAATTTGCAGTGAAAATCAGATTGATTTTTATCACCAACGAAATCATATCAGATGTATCACGTATATTATAAATCTCATAGTTCAAGAAATATTAAATCATATTAAAGCTGAAAATGCAAAGTATGAAATTTGATTTTAAAAGAACTTGAAAAGAAAAATGCCCATTTATGTGGAATGATACCCAAGGTAAACTCATAAAATATGGATTATATTATTTATTAAAAATATGTTATATGTATTTATAATAAACTCAAAATATTAATAATATTTTAGCTGAAAAGACTTATTGTAAAGATCTGAGCCTCTCCATAACGCAGAGCAAGATTTTCCAGTTATTGTGATCTTTATCAAGATATTAAAAATCTAAACTTCATTTTAGATGTTAAGACGAGGTGGAACTCTATGTATTTGATACTAAAATATGCACTTGAACTTCAGAAGGTAATATTTATTAAAAATTTAGAAATAAATTATAAAAATTATTCATTATATTTGTAATTATATTTAGCCTCTTAATGATACAACAATGATCAAACAGGAATTAAAAATCTTTTTAATTTTAACAGAGGAATGGAATTACATAAAAAAATTATGTCGTGTATTTGAGATAAAAGCTTTTTTCGTTAAATTTATTGCATTTCAAATTCAAACTCAAATAATTTCCAAGTATAATTCTATATATAATTTAGATTTTTTATAAAACAACTGAAGAAATGTCAAAATCACAATGTGTTATACTTTCTTCTTCGATTCCTATATACAACGTTTTGCTAGATCATTTAGAAAAACTCTTTAATAGCGAAAATAGAGAGTAAAGCTCCGCATGAGCCGGCTCGAGCTGGCTCACCATCGGCTCGAGCTGAGCCGAATTATTTCGGCTCACGAGCCGGCTCAGCTCGAGTCCAAAATGTGGCAAGCTGAGCCGGCTCGCGAGTTAAACAAGCCGGCTCATATGGCTTACATTATTAACAAAAATCCGAAAAAAAATTTCAGAGTAATTGAAAAGTTCCGGAAAGCGATTTCCTTCAAGAGAATCATCTCTGAAATAGTTTCCTTCAAGAGAAACGTCTCCAAATCGATTCTCTTGAAGCGAAAACGCTTCCAGAACGTTTTTCTTTAAGAATTATGCTCCCGGAGCATCGTTCTTTAAGAAATTCACTTCCGGAGTGTTGTTCTTTAAGAATTTCGCTCCCAAAGCGTCATTCTTTAAAAAATTCGCTTCCGGAGCGCTTTTCTTTAAGAATTTCGCTTCTGGAGCGTTGTTATTTAAGAAATTCGCTTCCGGAGCGTTGTTCTTTAAGAATTTCGCTCCGGGAGCATTTTTCTTTTAGAATTACGCTCCTGTAGCGTTTTTCTTTAAGAATTACGCTCTGGAGCATTTTTTCTTTAATAATTACGCTCCCAGAGCGTTTTTTTTAGGAAATTCGCTTCTGGAGCGTTTTTCTTTAAAAAATACGCTACCGAAGCATTTTTCTTTAAGAATTACACTACAGAAGTGTTTTTCTTTAAGAATTACGCTCCTGGAGCATTTTTCTTTAAGAATTACGCTCCCGGAGCATTTTTTTTAGGAAATTCGCTTCCGGAGTGTTTTTCTTTAAGAAATACGCTACCGAAGCGTTTTTCTATAAGAACTATGCTTCGGTAGCTTATTTATTTAAAAGAAACGCTCTGGAAACGTTATTTTTTTAAATTTAACGCTCCGAAAGCGTTATTTTTTTAAATTTAACGTTCCGGAAGCGTTTTTATTTAAAAGAAATGCTCCAGAAGCATTATAATTTAAAATTTACGCTCTGGAAGCGTTTTTATTAAATGTAACGCTCCGAAAGCGTTATTTTTTTAAATTTAACACTCCGGAAGCGTTTTTATTTAAAAGGAACGCTCCCGAAGCGTTTTTATTTAAAAGAAACACTCCGGAAGCGTTATTATTTAAAATTAATGCTCCAGAAGCGTTTTTATTTAAAAGAAACGCTTCGTAAGCGTTATTTTTTTAAACTTAACGCTCCGCAAGCGTTTTTATTTAAAGAAACGCTTCGGAAGCGTTATTAATAGCTCCCGAAGCGTTATTCTTCAAAGAAAACGTTACCGAATCGTTTTTTTTCGAAGAAATCATTGCCGGAATCGTTTTACTTCGAAGAATCGTTTCCGGAATCATTAACTTCGAAGAAATCGTTACCGAAAGCGTTTTTCTTCGAAGTTAATACTCCTGGATTGTTTTTTCAAAAATAAAAAATCCAAGCTGACGAGCCGAGCCGCGCCACGAGCCGAGCCACGGTATGAGCCGGCTTGATCGGCTCGCGAGCCGTTTTATAGCGGCTTGAGCCGAGCTTTCGCGAGCCAGCTCGTGAGGCTCGCGAGCCAGCTCGGCTTATGCGGAGCTTTAGACAAAACTAAATTTTTCAAAAAAGTGTTTAGGCAGGTATTACTAATTTACTATAGAAAACTTTATCAAATTGTGATGGGATAAGAATAGAATCTTGATAAGGTATTTTTAGAAACCCAGTAAAATGCCAATTATTATTCTTTCTTTTGAGTAAAATATTATTCGATTTTTCAAAGTTATTGATAACTAAGGATGGGTCCACAAATAGGCAATTGCGGAATAATTGCGATTTACAATATTGCGGACAATTGCAGAAATTAAGGTCCGATTCCGTAATTTCGGCCAAAATTAACATAATTTTGGCCAAAATAT